ATTAGCTCCTGAAGATGTGACGTCAACGCCTTAGGCGCAAAGAGCCCATTGAAGTATTTCTTCAAAGAAGTTACATCAATGTTTAGCACTTTCTGAAACACTCAGAAGCCAAATTGGAGCAATAACATTTGCTCCAATCTGACGGTTGAATAACTTAAATAACAGATAAAAAATAAATATATTTGTAGAACCCATGTCTATTTCTTCAAAAATGTAGCAAAAAGGGTCTGGATTTTTAGTTATAAACCATGCTTATTTTGCATATATATATTTTGACTAAAATGTGATTGCTGACCCAGCAATTAACTTGATTAAAAATTGTAAGTTTTGTTTAGAAAAATAGGAATCCTCATTTAAGAGTACAAAGCTAAAGATGTTTTAGAATCTGCCTTCACTGTAGTATAACTCAGTTCCCATTTGACCAGTCCATGCAATGCAGTTTTCGTGTCATTGCCACGTGGTCCCTTTCTCAGAGTGAAACGACAAGTTTCACCATTGAAGTAAACTCCTTTTCTGTGGCAGTTTTTTCTTTTTTTTTGCATGACTAGTGCTCCATCAAATCCCTCCTGCTCAACAACTAATTTGCAGGGAATTCAATTCTGGGATGGAATAAAATTCAATGCAGTCCAACAAGCAACACAAAAGAAAAGCACTTTTTCACAAGCAATAAGCACTAGTTATCAAGGCTGACAGTCTTAACTTGCACATCAAATTCTACTGCCACCCTGGATAACTTCCAGTACCGCCCTAAGAAACTGTCACTTTTTTCTGTGCCTCTGATTTAATCTCTTGTGCATAGAGCCATCAGTGCAGGTTCTGTCAGTTCCTGTCAAGACTGGGGGTTGAGGAAGTCTGTCGAGAGGCTCTTGTGCAGTTTAAAAGTAGGTAAAGTCAATGTCAGACTTTTTGTAATGTTTGCACTATACACATTGTCCACTCCCCCCAACAATACACAAGAGTTTCAGCTAAAATTTTCATGGGCACACTGAGTTAAATGAAACTGAATCGGATGGACTGCAAGTTGACCAGATCTGAAGCTTTATCATAAAAGTTAAGCTTCAGTGCCTAATGGGTGTGCCTCAACACCATTGCAAACACCATTGCAATTTGACCATATTAGTCCAACATTTCAATTAGTGCTTTGGCAAATTTGCTTTATATGACGGTTAGCAGAGATTCAGACAAGGAAACTCCAATAGAGTCAGGTTAGAGGGGCCCAAGGCGTTCAGTGGCAATTTTAGCCAGCAGGATTTGAGCCTGCCGTCTCTCATTTTGCCAGCAGGACCTGAAATGTCTAATTTAATATCAGTGAATGAAGGCAGACAGACATTTTACAGCTTTATTTACCTCAAGTTTCACAGCACTTAAATAGATACAAATATTTGCAATGAGGTTGATCAGAACTACTTCGTTTTAAAATATTCTTAACAGATACATTTTCTCCCACACCCATAAACATTTCTACACAGATTCAGTGTTCTTCCCTAATAAGATTCATTGATAAAACACCCAGCAAGAATCAGGACGTGCAGAGTAAAGAAGGGCGAGTCCTGCTTTGGTAAAACGGATGAAAAAAAAAAAAAAAAGTCTTTTAGGGAACTTCATCTTGAGGCGGTAGACTTTTGCATCCTCTTTCCATCTGGGTCGACAGGACGGGTGGAGTTAGTCTCAACACCAGGACCAGTCGTGGAGGAGGACCGACGCTAAAGTCAAAGGGAGCAGGAGCAGCGGGACGGCGGTGGTCATTCCACTGATGCTGGCAGATTTGGCTGTGGTTGAAGAAGGTTTTGCGGTGGTACTGCCGTTTGAGGCATCGGCCTGGACCACCTGCAAGAACAGCAGCAAGTCCGTTAGGTTTTACCCCGTGCAAATCACAGCTTCACGTAGTTAAAACAGAAACCGAAACACCGATCGATTGGAGATTAATGCGGAAAAAAGTATCTCTATTTAAATCCAGAGTTAAATCAGCAGAGGATGGTCTGATGGTACTACTAGCACATTAAAAACAGGATGACACATTTAACATAACAAAGTTTGAAAAGAAAATAATAAATGCCACGCAAACATTCCCGCCAGAATAAGAACGCCAATAAAAATAGAAGAAATGTTTTCAAGGAGAAAAACAAAAAAACAAAAACTAACCTGGAATGAGATGCAAAAAGCCAGCAGCAGAGCTGACAGCAAGGCGACGGACAGCTTGTTCATCTTGCTGGTTGATGTGCAGGCAGCGCTCACAGATTGCGCGTAAGTGATTCAAACAGGAGATGCTGCTGAGCTTTTTATACTGCAAGTGACATCAGCATCATCGTCATCAACACGACCTTCTGCGTAACATGCAAGGTTTGCATGGAAATTATAAAAATGGTATTATTAATCACAATATTATACCAAAAAATAAAACCAAAGAGTTGATAATGCACATGCCTGTGAATGAGCTGTGTCGTTTTCCTAAGAAAATAAAATTGATGTGGAAAAGTGTTTTTTTTTTCTGTCTTAATTTGTTATTTTGCAATCATGTTGTTTATTTATATGTTTTTATTCTTCATCTTTAAAATATCAAAATCAGAGAAGAGGAGCAAACGATTGCCTGAGTACTGCCAGAGGTAAAGTTGAAGGTGGAATTTGTCGCAGATGTGGTGACAAATTCCACAAAATCAACTCCTAAACCTAATCCAAGTGTATACAAAATGCATGTTGGAGCAGTTTTGTAGGAAACAGTTTGTATCTTTCAAAAAGACCATGATTTTTTTTTTTTTTTCCCGCAGTTACTGCTGCTACACAAAAAGTTGATTGTTACATCAAGAATCTGATGGAGGTCCTGGTGACCATTACTGAAAATACCATTGACTAAATTACCATTTTTAATGAACTGTCAGAATTTATTTTTTTTTTTTAGTAAATGTTATGTTATGTTATGGCGCAGAAACTTCAATAGTATTCGGCTTTCCGACAAATCAACAGCGCACTCTAGCGGGTAATATGGATGAAATATGTCCCAACAGGGACACCGTAGTTGTCCTTTGTGCAATTTCATCCGGAAGAAACATAGTCAACCAGAAGGACGAAACAAAACAACACATTGACCAAACTCAGCAGCAAGCCGACTCAGACACGTTCAGTTTTTTCATTTTATTTTATTTTATCCTCCGAGTTACCTCGCCTTTCCATGCTACTGACTCGGGTGTCGCCAGTGTACCAGACGCTGGCGAGATGGGGACGGAGGTCACAGCGGGGAGGTGGCCTCCTTCTCAGCCGCGCGGTCGGCTGCAGCTCCAGCCGCTGTCATGGTGTCAGTCCCGGGGAAGGCAGCGCTCAGCCCGCAGAGGCTGGTTCCGCTATGTACCGGGATACAGTGCTACTTCCTCGGACTGAGTTTCCCATGAAACTGACCGGACAAAAGCTGCTGGACCGAGAACTTCAGATCCAGCAGGTACAGCAATTGTTAAATGTAGACACGCCCCTGATTAAATGCGAGATTTTTGTGACGTAAAACTAGACTATAACACATAGTTTCATACTCTTTTCATTCAAAATCATACTTAAGAGGGACCAAGACTGCAAAGCTCAGTTAGCCAGACAGGTTTCTTACTGGAGTACCCGGGGAGAACCATATTATACTGTAAATCTCTGTGACAGTAAATCAATTAAAATCCACAAAAGATACATGTTTTTGATTGTAAAGGGGTGGAATATGGAAAAGTGAACATTTGCAAGATAACTCAATTTGAAAATACTTGTATTTGGGATTAGTACTTTGAGGATTTTTGTCCTGTCATCTAGAGCAAGTATTAACACAAACGTTTACTGTAACCTAAAGGAGTTACTGTGTTTTTGTTAAATGCACTAATTACTTTATTGCATAATCTGTTTTTGCAGGAATGTGGTTTTGCAGAGTTGTATTCATGGCAGAGAGAAAGGAAAGCCACAAAAAAGTTCTGCCTTCATGACGGACCACCTTATGCAAACGGGGACCCTCACGTTGGACATGCACTCAACAAAGTAAATATTATAATTCTGTCTTAGGTGTTACCTGCTTGCATTGCACCTTTTTGTAAATGCTGCTGCAGGAAATTAGTATTTTTTTAAAAATATATTTTACTTAGGTCTTTCAACCTTAAAGCTCTTTTACTAATCTTGTTCAGATCCTGAAAGACATCCGTAACCGTTTTGAGATGCTAAGAGGATGTCAGGTCCACTACATCCCCGGCTGGGACTGCCACGGCCTGCCCATAGAGCTCAAAGCTTTGGGAGAACTAGGCACCAGTGGGCTCAGTCCACTGGAGATAAGACAGAAAGGTGAGGATGGAAAGGTTGATGCTTGATTTTCATAGAGGTTTCCAGCTGCTATAAAGAGGTTGTTGTCCTTTGCTCCTTCCAGCCCGGGAGTTCGCTGAAGGGGCGATAGCTCGGCAGAAAGCCGCCTTCCAGCGCTGGGGGGTGATGGCTGATTGGGAGCAGTGCTACTACACGTTTGACGGAGCTTATGAGGCTGCTCAGTTAAAGGTCTTCCAGGAGATGCATGGCAAGGTGGGTTCTCTTTAAAATTAAAGTGTCAAACAGAGTTTTAACCAGGAATTGCCCTCCTACTTTCCTTAAATTTAGACTCTTAAGGTTTGCCGGTTACTCTTGCAGCATGAAACAGTGTGTTTATTAAATACGCAGACACATAAAAAAAAACTGATTAAAAGGAGAGTATTTATGCAAATTAGTGCAGATGTTAGCTACTTTGCTCTTAAAAAAATCAAAAGAAATATATGATCTGGTTCATTTCAAACTTTTTAGGGGTTCAGATTGTGAGCTATGACCACAAACTAGTTCATTTTGTGTGATAAAGACTTAAACTATACCTGGTTTTGAATTGCATTATTTTTAAGTAACTTTTTCTGGTACTGCCGTCCTTCTCTGTTGCTCTTCAGGGTCTGGTATATCAGGACTACAAACCCATCTTCTGGTCTCCTTCATCCAGGTACGGGACCAACATGCGGCCCCCGACTTTAGACATGCAAACTTTGTCTTGCCAACCTTCCTGCTTTCTTTGCAGAACGGCCCTGGCTGAGGCTGAGCTGGAATACAACCCTGAGCATGTGAGCAGAGCCATCTACGCCACCTTCCCTCTGGCGACGCTGCCACCAAAGATTTCTTCAGAGGACGGTGAGTCAGGCATCCTCAAAAAAGTTATGATCAATCCTGGAGGGATGTTCTGACTCCCTTTGTGGGTTTCAGCAGGTCTGGAGAATGTTTCGGTGTTGGTTTGGACCACCCAGCCTTGGACCATCCCCGCCAACCAGGCTGTGTGCTACATGCCCAACGCCCAGTAAGTTCACCTGCGAAGAGAAAACTTTCAGTTTGGAAAGTTCTTTTTTTGTAGACGCAGTCATGTTACTAATCCCGAGTAGATGGCAACATATGGACTATAGTTTGCTGTGAAACAATAACGCGTCCGTCAGATTTGTCGTCATATACTGTTTTGAACTTATATTTGGCTGCAAAACTTCTGTAGGTTCTTCGTGCCCTAATAAATGACAGCTGGTACCAGTAGCGGCATCGTTTTCCTGTTTCTGGTTTGCAGGTACTCTGTGGTGAAGAGGGCCGACTCTTCTCAGCTGCTGCTGCTGGCGACTGAACGCACAGCGAGCCTCGCCGCGCTGCTGGGCACAGAGCTGCAGACTGTTGCCACCTTCACAGGTACTGCTCTGGTTTCCATTTAGAAGGATAGGCTGTGTTTTGGCCATTCACTAACCTAAGCATGGCTACTTCCTCTTTCTTTCTTTTTCTTTTTGAAGGTTCGCAACTTGAAGGTGGAATCTGCAAACATCCTACCATTCCTGACAAGCAAGTCCCGTTGTTGCCAGCCAGCCATGTGACAATGGGGAAAGGGACGGGATTGGTCCACACTGCACCTGCTCACGGCATGGACGACTACAGCGTAGCATCACAGTTTAAACTGCCTGTGGTGTGTCATTTATTTAGTTATTTATTTATACTTAGTTTTAACCAATGTACTGCTGCATTATGGACTCAGTAAAGCTTATGGAAATTAAAATGTTACATTCACAAATGTATTTTGGTTGAAGGAGTGTATGGTGGATGAAGATGGCAGGTTCACAGACGTGGCAGGACCCAAGCTGCAGAACCTCTTGGTGATGACTGAAGGAACTGATGCAGGTAGACGGAGTCAGAGTTAACCTTAATGTTTCTGGGGTTTTTTTTTTTTTTTTTTGTATCTTTTGAAACCTACATTGCTGCTTGTTTTAGTGATTTCCATGCTGAACGAGAGCGGCGCTCTGGTTCTGGAGGAGCAGTGCGTCCACAGTTACCTGTATGACTGGCGGACGAAGCAGCCTGTGGTCATCAGGCCCAGTAAACAGTGGTTCATCAACACTGCATCACTGAAAGACAAGGCAAAGGTAATGTCACCCGCTTTCTGCTGCAATCTGTTCAGGTGATGTCTTGATTTGTGTTTCAACAAAGTCTGCCTCTGTGCCTGTAGGAGGCACTGCAGAAGGTTCGCGTTCTGCCGGAGTCGGCGAGAGGCAGCCTGCTGACCATGCTGGACAGACGGACGTACTGGTGCATCTCCAGGCAGCGGAGCTGGGGCGTCCCAATCCCAGTCTTCTACCATAAAGAGAGCGGGGAACCTCTCATTAACAAGTATGCTGAACAGCAATGTCATTACTGTGTTATTGTCAAGTTATTTGCTTTCACTAAGCTCTGGTTTTCAATAATTTAATGTTGAGTTTTAGGTCTGTAGTGCATAAGAGCATGTTCTTTGATGGAGGAGGTTTTGAATCCAACAGGAAATGAAGGATTTAGAACACCATCCCCATTTATGCATCGTAGCATGTTCCGAAAGTTACTAATTTTTAAGGTTTTTGACCTGGAGAGCTCTGGTTTATTGGCGCATGTCGCTTTCTGGTGTTAAAAAATTACAAACATGAAAAGAAGTTAAAAATAAACTAATGCTGGAGTGTTTAGGAAAGCTGGTTATTTGTTATTTGCTGACTGTTTATGTAGAAAGTTCAAATAATATTCTATCCTGCATTGCTTGACTTTTGTTTGAAGTATGACAAACTAGATCTAACATCCCTGGATCTTATGCAGATACACAATCGCCCACATAGCGAAGCTCTTCAAAGAAAACGGCAGCGACTGTTGGTGGGAGCTTCCCATCGAGGCTCTGCTGCCCCCAGAGGTTCTCAAGAAGGTGAGAGTGAATATCATTTTAAATAAAGAGAAAATTTAGGTTCATCTTTCCAGAATCACTGCAGCTAAGCTCTGTTTATCCACTTTACATCACCTTGAGGTAGAAAAATGTAACATGGCAAGAAAAAAAAAAAAATTAAATTGGATTGGGCTTTTATTTAATGGTAGAATTTAACCATCAGGTTATTTATGCGCCCTTGACAGTGGAGTTGGGAAATGAGACATTCTTGGGATGTTTTTTGCTTCGTCAGAGTAAAGCAGGACCGGTGAGCGACTACGTTCGAGGAGAGGATGTTCTGGACATCTGGTTTGACAGTGGAGCTTCATGGGCAGCTGTGCTGGAAGGTATGAGGGAATATCCCACTTTGACCAAGAAGTAGTTTCAGAGAAAAACTTTTATTCGATTCTCAGGACAATCACTGCATGAGAGGCATCTGGCACAGACCGCACAGACGTCCAGCTGACAAATTAACCACTTTTTTTTTTTTTCTTTTTTATGACGAACTGACTTCTTTTGTTATCAGCAGCCGAAAGCTACAATAATTTTCTTTTTCGGTTTCCTGGAATGTAAATACAAGCAAATGTAGCCTCTAATCCGTTCACTTCATTTTCAGTGAAGCCGCTCACAGACTGAAAGCCTTCGCACTGCTTTTAATCAACTCTTCTTTCATTAACTTAAATGTACAGAAAGCTACTTAGAGCCACTCGATTTATCCACCTCAACCAGGAAGCTGCTTTGGTGAGGTGCGATTAGCCGCAGTAGCCGTTGTTACCATCCAGGATTATGGAGTCAGGCTCTGTCAGCGCTCCTGGAGCTCTGGAAAAAGACAGGTTGACTATGTGACCCAGAAGCGGTTTAGGAATTTAACATTTAAACATTATTAGATGCTTTCTCAGATTCTTGTGTCCTCTGTCTGTGAAGCTGCATGTGCAGTTCTGCTCCAGTATCTTTGGACAAAATCAATATTTTATTTTTTATTACAATTTCTGTGAAACAGGATACAAATTGTGCCATAACATGTACTTTAAATTGAGCAGTAAAACTTGGTTTTAGTTTGTTTTAAACGCAGCCGGAGGAGGAGAATTGTGATTCCTTGCAAATGTATTTATATTCCCTGAACGTGTTTAGGGCAACAGTCCATCACAGGGCATAGCAATACATGTTAATATATACAACGCACTGTTTTTTTCTGTTTTTATTTTAATTATGTGAAGCACTTTGAAATTCCTTGCTGCTGAAATGTGCTATACAAATAAAATTTGATTGATTGATTGAATACATGTGTAACTAAATGCTTTTCACAGCTAAAAATACAGAGCAGAAAGAAAAGATACTATTGTCTTTCTTGCAGGATTGGAGTGTTTTAGCTGCATCCGTCTTCCATAACCCATCTGACTGTCACACTGTGTGATAGTCCATCTAACCAAATCTTAATAACACATTGGCATATGTGGTTTTATTCCACATATGTGGAAAATAAAACGTTTTAAAAATATGTGTATTTTTAAAATGCTAAACAACGAGTAATATGTGTAATTATAGCAAAAATAACAAATTGCTTTCCTTTGAGCTTGTTTCTTTGACAATGACATTGTCTGTCCGCCTGGATGTGATTTCTAGAAGAGATGGAGGAAGCGTCCGAGGAGCCTGAATCCCGTCTCAGCCGGCTCGCCGGCTCGCTTCGCAAACCTCTAGCCACAGGTTATTCAGACGTTTACCTGCAGGGGGCGCTGCAGGCTGTTCCGTTTTATTTTGCCTGCCTGTTTCCTCCTCTTTTTTTGGAGAAGAAGTTCTCTTTAATGTGCCTGGCATGAATCTGAAGCTCTCACAGCTGTCTGCATGCAGTAGTTTTCTTTTTTTTTTTTCTACTTTGCCTCGCAGAGCACTGTGACTGTTCTTTTTCCAGGATTGATCCCAACTGCTTCTTTTTGCTGTCACTCTGCTTTGTAGAATGACTCAGGTTGGCTGGGGGCCTTCATTTGTGATTAGGAGCAGCCAAAAACAACTTAACGACACATTTACCTCCTTTCTGACTAACAACAGCTGGTGTTCGTCGCCTCAGCAGACCATTCTGTTGTCCGGGAAACAAACTGTCCTCACTCCATCCTTCTGCCTCCCTGCAGAATCGGACCCCAGAGCAGATGCATATGTGGAGGGGAAGGACCAGCTTGGAGGCTGGTTCCAGTCCTCGCTGCTCACCAGCGTAGCCGTCAGGAACAAAGCGCCCTATAAGTGAGTGTCCCGATGAATGAATCTAAGTAAGAACTCCCACAGATCAAGTTTCATCTCTTCTAAATGAAATACACCTGTTGTAGAGCTCTGGTGGTCCATGGCTTTGCAGTCAGTGAGAAAGGAGAAAAGATGTCCAAATCTCTGGGGAACGTTGTGGATCCTGATGAAATCATTAATGGAAAGGAGGTGAGCTGAGAAAAAAAAAATCAAATTCAACTTTCTGCTGGAATATATTTGGCTCTTTTTCAAATTGTTTAAATTTATGATGTCGGTGAATGAAATGAAATTAAATTTGTGTCAAGATAATGAAAATTAGAAACTGGGATTAATTTTACTTACTAGCATTTATTTGTTTTTTTTTATATAGCCACAACTCTGTCCTCCTTCTTTATTCACTCAGTTTATTGTTTTTTTTTTTATATTTCTTCCCATTTCTTTGTGTTGATGATGATCAGATTGGATAATCTCTCAACTCTCTCTCAGGACGGCAGCGTACCGGCGTACGGGGCAGATGTTCTGCGCTGGTGGGTCGCAGAATCAAACGTCTTCTCCGAGGTCCAGATTGGACCCAGCGCCCTTAACTCAGCCCTCGACAGCATCAGCAAGGTACCAGAGGGACATATAACCTTCTCAAAGCCTTTCTCCCCGCGTCTCCTCTTCCTCATTCCTCTGACTGGTTTTATCTTCCAGTTGAGGAACTCGCTCAGGTTTCTGCTCAGCAACCTGCAGGGCTTCGACCAACGCACGCAAGCCGTCGAACCCCAACAGATGTACTATATTGATCAGTACATGCTGCACCTGCTGCGCGAGTACAGCATGAAGGTGTGTTGACGTCGGACTCTTCTTGACATTTTGCTTCCATGCCACGGCTCGCGGCTATTCTAAGTGGTCTTGATGCTCGTTTCTCTGTCCAGGTTACAGACGCCTACAGTGAGTTTGATGCCGGCAGAGTGATCCGTATCCTCCAAGCCTTCATCTCCAGAGACTTGTCCAGTTTTTACTTCAGCGTCATAAAGGACAGGTGATTGATTACCTTCCTCGACAGCATAACCGCATGTTTTCACATCTCCATTCTTGCATCTTTTCTTGATTCCTCCTTTGTCCAGGCTGTACTGCAGTCGGGAGGACTCGTTGGGCAGGCGATCGTGTCAGACTGCTTTAGAGGAAATTCTGGATGGCGTGACTCGATCTGTTGCTCCTATCCTGCCTCACCTAGCAGAAGAGGTCTACCTGCACGCTCCAGGACACGACAGTATGTGTGTCGATGGCTTCGTAGCGAAACAGTCTTAAATATTAGCAATCCGTTTGCTTCTAAGCAAGAGCTCTTTTGCTGCAGAAGCGGAGACGTTATTCAGAAGCGGGTGGATCAAAAGCAGCTCCGTGTGGCGGCGCCCGGGTCTGGAGGAGGCTGTGGAAGGAGCCTGCGCCATTCGGGACTCCTTCCTGTCTTTGATTCCTGGTAAACATGCCAGCAAGTATGATCTGACGATTGCCATCGAACCGGGACTCCTGTTTGAGCTCATGGAGGTAAGAATCACTTTTGAGGAACAACATTTCCCAGGCCTCCCTGCCTTAACAATGTGGGTAAGGAATGAGTTAAATTTCATCTTAATACAAAAGGTGAAAAAAAAAATTCTGTATTTGTTTTCCTTTTGTGTCAGTAAGAAAAAAAATGTACCACTTGTCATTTTTGTCTTCCTTCATGACAAAAAAATCAAAGTAGGAACTGTACTTTCGTAAAAGACTAAAACTCATTGAAATGATGGATAATTAGTGACCAACATGTTCTTAAAGATTTATGGGGATATTGTAATAAAGAATAAAGAAAACGGTTGGGAAAAAGGTGCTCATAGCCAATGTGGCAGACCACATTTTTAGATATGTTAATTTTGTTTGAATGTTGTAGAATTTGTGTTAATCTGTGATTTCATCAAGGACGGCATGCCTTAATCTCTGTAATTTTAGAAACAATTTTACTTTGTTCTAGAATCATAAGAAAAAAAATCTCCCATACATAAGATTTTTTTATGTTGAATAATTATATATAAAAAAAAAAAACACCGGCTTGATTTAACAGTTTTAAATCACACCATCTTGAGATCCGCCTGCAGCTTCTATAAATCGTCTGTATTGGATCAAACTCACCCATTTCTCATCTTTTTCTCAGTCTCTCCAGGAAGAGCCCACCTCCAGCGACTCCCAGCTGGCCGAGCTGATGATGGCAGCGCGAGTCAACCTGACCAGCAAACTGCCCCGCGACCTGCATCCCGACGCCCTGCTGAGCCACGGCACCTTCCTCATCAACCTGGAAGGTGAGATGAGTCCAGCATAAAAGTGCTGATAGCTGTGTTACTTGTTGTTCTGCGTCGCTTTAAGCCTGTAAAGCGGTGTGGATCAATAGAAGTTTCAGGCGTTTCAGTTTTTCATTGGATGAAATGAAAATGAAACAGATCTTCCTAACAGGAAGCCAAATATGCAGAAATGAAGACATTTGCACTTTATTGCAGAAAGGGAAATTAAAAATTATTTCTCCTGTCAGAGCTTCTGTATTATATTGCGCCTGGCAGTAATGTGGTGTGTATTCTAGGTGGCGTTATTCGTGAGGACAGCCCCTACAGCATCGCCGTGATGCCCACCTCTGCGGCGCGCTGCCCGCGATGCCGCCGCTACACCTCAGAGTCCGCAGACTGTCTGTGTCCGCGGTGCCAGGCGGTCGTCTCGCATGCCGGCTGACACGTTTGTTACCAGGACAACCTACGCATGTCAGGATCAAGAAGTTGCTTTACACTCCCAGTGGGAACTGTCGCTCTGGCCGTTTATAAAAACTTCGACTTCAGACCTTCAGTAAAGGTTTTATATTAAACAAACCATCATAGCAGATGTAGAATAATCCAAAGTCTCAAGCTGTAGCTATTCAATGTGCTCATGTTTCCTCAGTGAACTCAAACCAAAAGTACTGAAGTCTACTGTAAATAGTTGGAAGATAAAAAGGACGAGATATGAGCGAAGAAGGGATGCTCTCGTTTAAATGTGTTGATGCTAAATATTTCACTACAAGTGTCACTATGTGACTAAAGTAGGAATGTGTACTGGAGAGTAGATAGCATGGGGGGAGTTCCTGTATAAATCCACTTTTGTATAATAAAATCAGATCCTTCTTTCGCACTACAAATGCTTGGATGTGCTACAGAGAGTTTTGTTCTTGTTTACGTTCTGTAAGTGAGCTAATCTAGTCCAACGTTTGAGAAATGTCTTTATTCTGCATCAGAGCCCTGCTGGACATCAAACTACAGAACACAGGATGCGGCTAATACAGAACTGTCTGCATATATAAATAAAAATAACATCCTTCTCTTCATTTATGATACACGTGCTGCCTGTGCGAAAGCGGAAATGACCGATTCGGGTCCGAAATGCCCCACAGGACTGATGATGAGATACAGTAAAACTAACATGCCCCGATCCTCAACATGACTCATCCTGAAAACACAATACACAAATATTTAATACCATTTATGTTACATGCACAGAAACCTGATGGGCTAATAAAACAAACAAACAAAAAAAAGTTAAGAGCCATTTTCTTTAACACTGAACTTAAATCGGAATCATGATTTAAATGATGAAACATAGATGATCATAATGATTTCTAATGTTCAGCTGTGGGGTTTTGGTGCCGAGTCAGCGGAAATCAGTCCTCATTGGACAGAGAGAGGACTTCCACGGCTTCCAGCAGGTGCAGGGCCAGGCTGTACTGGGCGTGGTTCTCTGGCAGCATTTCAATCAGATGGCTGACCAGTCGGCTGGTCTTGGACAGAGAGACCAGGGGGCATCTCAGCTCGCTGGGATCCTGCAGCATACAAGACAATTATTAGATGTCAAACAATTACACCCAACCGAATTTGAGTAGTAAAGCCAGAAATTAAAGCATTTAGTTTTCCCTTTAACATGTGAAAATTGATCAACTAGATTTAAAAGTGGCTTTTTTTTAAAGCTTAATGTTGGGAGGCCTAGTTAAAGGGTCTCACGATATGCTGCTTTAGAGTCTTTTACAAGCTGCTGTGACCTCAGAAGGCAGAAATGACTCCAAATACAAACTACACACACTGCCGACCTGTGCAGGGTGTACCCCGCCTCTCGCCCGCTGAAGCTAGCCAGCTGCACCCCTCGCAACCGTTGCCATGGTCTTACCATTGCCTTCAACCAGGTGCAGAGGGTTGGAGGCAGGCGGGCCAGCAGCTCCATGGCAGCCTGCGTCTGGTTCTGGTTGTGAAGCAGGGAGTAGCTGAGCCTCTGACCGGTCAGAACCAAGAGATGGGAGCCCAGAACTTCCTTATCTTCCACCTGCAGAATCGCCTAGAAGGCAACAGCGGGTGTCGATGCAGAAGTTATTTCTCTATATAGTATTATTGCAGGAATATAGAGAATAAATGAAGGAATTGTCATTGTTTATAGAACTGAAGCTGATCCTAAGTATCCAAAATTCAAATGTTTACCAGGCTCAAATGTCCAGGATTCTCAGTCCTTTCGGTGAATTTTTAAAACGTGAAGACAAAAGTTCATAATGAATTTAACTCCGATGTTTTTATAACAGTCAGACTTGACGTGTATTGAAGGATGGGTTGTGCAGATGGAAGGACGGAATAAAGTTTGGACAGACAAATGATCTTCTGTACTTGACCCGGTCTGGAAAATTCCTCACTGAAGTTTCATACTTTTCCCGATTTTGTCAAACAGTTTAGGGCCCCTGGTTTTAAATTAATATCAGTGATTTCTCTACAAACCTTTTAAATGTTTTCTGTGGCTCCCTGAACATTCATTTAAAAAAGATGAAAAGACAATCTTGCTGTTTCAAAGGCAAATGTTTAGAAATATGGGAAGACTCAAAACTGTCTGCCATCATAAGACATCACTCACCTCCTCAGCTCGCAGGTCGAGGCCCTGGTTGTAAAGCTCGCAGACGAGGTGCCGGCGCAGGATGTCTGGGTTGACCTGGAGCAGGGATCCCAGGTCCATGCACAGGGAGGGCCACCAGTTCGCTTTCGGCCCATCAGAGGGCAGCGACGTGAAGGCAGGCGCTGGGGAGGAGCAGGAAGCGTCGTCTGTCGCCTGCACCCATCCAGTCAGCACCCGCAGGAGGAACTTAACCAGAACAGGAAGTATGAATGAGGACAGACTTCAAAGATAATTTATAAAAAAAATCGCCCTCTGCATTTCATTCCACCACTCACCTCCTGTCGTAGTGAGACCAAGCCAGGATCCATGTCTCCACTGGGCATCAGCTGGATGGTGGTAAGATCTCTGAAGAAAGCGTTCTTACCCTAAAAAAAAAAAGACAAATACAGACCGAGATGCACAAAATCTATGACAACAACCTGCTGCGTTCGTGTGTGCGCTCACCTTGCTGTCGAACAGACTGAGCGGTTTGACTTTAACGCTGAAGCTCATGGCGGCGTGCAGAAGCGTCGCCAACAGCCAGTGGTGCTGCACCAGAGGGTAGTGAACGCCTTTCTGCTCCAGGGCTAGCTCGGCTATGGAGGCGGGGCCCTCCGCTCCGCTCCACACCTCCTCCACGGAAAGCTCCGGAGTTGGAATCTCCTCCATGGCCGAGTCCGCCTGCAAGCATCCGCCCCGCTTCAGTAAACCCAGCGGCTTCACCAGGCCTCCCGTACACATTCACAGCAGAGCGACATGCGTCAAACCCAACACACCTCCACGTGCATCCTCATTTGTGAGGCCTAATTAATATTCTTATGCCAGGCGTTGTCCACTCTCCATGCTTCGCTCGTGTTCTTTTCATTTACTTACGTAGAAAGGTATAAAGGACAAAGAGCTCTGATTCTTAACCAGTAATCCAGTCACCTCCATGAGGATCTGCAGCAGCTGGACGCAGCAGCCCAGGAACGACGTCATGGCTTTGTCTCCGATCCCAACATCCTGACAACAGAAGCACAATTCCTCAGTCTGTGAACCTCAACACTAAACACTGCGTTGCGCTGAGACAAACTTACCCGTCGACATAAGCGATCTTTTGGTGCTTTCCCCACCTTAAGAGGCAAAGCGTGTCATTTTGGCTCAAATAACGACCCAAAGTATATCTAGACTACAGCAGCTTGTAAGTTTGTGCCTTACCTTCTCCATGAGGAAAGCAGCTGCTGAGAAACGCTTGACGAAGAAGGTACCCCACATCATTGTGGAAATACCTGGACAGAATCATTGGATTTACATTAAAGAAGTTTGGAAATATATTTTGCAGGGGGACATCAAATGACTGATGAATATCAGGATTTCCTTTGTATTATTGATGAGCAAAAAGACTGACCGAGTTGAATGTGAGGACTGGTGATCAACTTCAAATGTTCCACAGCAATGAATAAATATTGGCCCTCCTAGACAGTGGAAAACATGAAAATATGTATAAATATAACAAGAGTTATCCTCATTCTTCTGTATTTATTACAGTCGGGAGCCTGACTACACATTTTTATTCCGCTGAACATTTCTGGTTCTCTCCCAGGCAGTCGATTAAATTTATTAGGGATGTACTGAGAAGTTAGATGACATGCTTGATCTGCTGACTGGAGACCAGCCAGAGACTCAAAAACAGCCAGGACACGCTGACAATAAGGCTCTTTGTTTTAGATTCTGTTACTGAGTAAAGACGACTCAAAGTTAGACTATTTCCAGGTCCATTGAGGAGCGAATGAAAGTAAATAGTCGAATCAAAGCTATGTCAGGAAAGAGTTTGGAGTTCTACCATCCAGTGATTTTTAATCATTTGAAGAATAGAGATCATTTTGTGTCACCTTTATAAAAGTGTACGTTTCAAAAATAAAGCTGGTATTCCCTAAAGGCACTAGTGTGAAATCAGAGCAGTCAGTGTATCTGTGCACCTCCGGGTCTTTGTTCCATTGCACCACATATTCCCAGCAGCAGTGGGCGAAGAGCAAGTCGGGAGACAAAGAATCTGGAAAACGCTGACAAACTGCCAGCAACAGCTCTGAGAAACAAGGACAGAAAAAGTGTCATAATGTGAAAATCCATAAGTAATCTAAAATCTGTGTGAAGTATCTCCTCATTGCCACCTGCTGTCCTGTCGGCCTCCTCCTGGCACTTCTCTGCCTCTTCTCTGTCCTCTTTCTGCTCCTTTTGGTCACCTGTATCTTGAGTTTCTTTCCTCAGGAGAATTTTCTTCAGTCGCTCCGGCGCCATGTTCTGCCTGAACACCCACTTGGAAACACTGTCTGCAATACCACCTTAAAAGACAAATGTAAGGAGGAAAACCCAAGATGTTAAAAAAAAGCAGTTGTGTCCCCTCCCCAGCAGTGAATATTAAAAATAATACATGAAACCCTTGTCATTAATAAGGCCATATATCTTCTGAGTTCACATATTCTTATTCTGCATCTGATGTGAGAGCATGAATGAGTGGAATTACTGGAAACCATTCAACAACAACAACAAAAACTCCATCATCCCTTCCTGCGGGTGTCACCTGTGCCTCCCTCCTGCAGCGTTTTGATGGAGCACTGAACTACAGCTCCCCCTGCTGTTCCCTGAGGAGAAGGCACCAACAGAAGAGTTTGCAGGACCAGGACGTCCTCCAGCTGACGGACACACACCACCCACTGCTCCAGCTCCAATGACACGGCCTCCCACTCTGACTGCAGCTGCAACCCAGCACAGCAAAGCCCAAACACTGAATATTTCTCTCAACGCCTCATAATCTCACATCTTCCACATTGGCAGGGCGTTGCTGTTACCTTGCTATCAGCCCTGCTTGTGATGCTCGCCTTGGCGGCGCGGTGAGCGACTAAAGCAGCCAGTAAAGCTGCAGCAGCGTTGTGAGACTGGATGCATGTGAATCGGACCTGCTGCCACCAGGGGGAGACAGACTGTGTATCCCATGACTCCTCGACAGCACCTAAAAACAAAGGAAAGAAAATACATCATCTTTGTTTTCTAAATTTCCCCAAGACACATTGATAAGAACACAAACCGTCCATGTTGCTAAGTGCGATGAGCAGCGTGTGCAGATTTCTGACTGTTTCCACTGGCTTCTGAAGCACTTCCTTCTCCCTTTGCAGCCACACACTCATCAACAAAGACTACAAGTGTAGAAAACAGGCATTACCAAACCCTGGAAAAGTAAATGGTATTTACATTTCT